TTCCTCAGTTGCAATAATCTCCATTGTCAAAGAAGGTTCTATTGAGTAGCACTGTTTTATATAAAATACCAGTTAAAATATGCCCTGAAAAATTACTAATGTAATTCCAAATATAATGGGCAGAATGAAAAGAGGGACATGTCCATTTATGATACAAATTCTTTGCATAGTGGGAAGAGAAGGGAACATCCTCCAACTGAAAAAAAGGCATTTATCATTATACTTAATGGTGAAAGATGATCTGCTTTCACCCTATGATCAGGAACAAGGCAAACCTGTACACTCTCACCCTTTTAATTTGCCTATATATATATACATACATATATATGGAGTCTTGATCTGTTGCCCAGGCTGGAGTGCAGTCAGTCGTGCAATTTTGGCTCACAGCGACCTCCACCTCCCAGGTTCAAGCGATTCTCCTGCCTCAGCCTCCCAAGTAGCTAGGATTACACGCATGCACTACCAAGCCCAGCTAATTTTTATATTTTAAGTAGAGAGGGGGTTTCACCATGTTAGCCAACCTGGTCTCGAACTCCTGACCTGATCTGCTCGTCTCGGCCTCCCAAAGTGCTGGAATTACAGGCGTAAGCCACCGCACCCAGCCTAATCCACCATTGTAGTAGAGGCACTAGCAGTTCAATAATTTAAGAAAAAGAAATAGAAGGCACATAAAATCAGAAAGGAAAAAGTAAACCTATCTTTATTTACAGACAACAGGATTATCTATGTAAAGAATCACAAAGAATCTCAAGGAAAAAAAGGCATTAAATTTAGTAAATAAATGTACTGAGGTCAATATACAGAAAAACAAAGCAAAACAAAAAGAAAAAAAATTCTATCTACTAGCAACAAACTGGAAATCAAAAATCTTAAACATACAATTTAAAACAGTATAAAAACCATAAAATCCTTAGGGAAAGTTTTCACAATAGATGTGTTAAGACCTCAACACTGAAAACTACAAAACGCTGCTAAGAGAAATTAAAGATTTACATAAATAGAGAGATATACTACGTTCCTGGATTAGAAGGCTCAATGCTGTCAAGATGTCAGTTATTCTAAAATGTCCCTATAGATTCAGTGCAATCGCAAAACCCCAGTACCTTCTTTTTGGGGAAATTGAGAAGCTGATTCTAAAATTTATGTGAAAATGCTAAGGAATGGAAAAGCCAAAACAGTTTTTTAAAAATGAGAGCAAAGTTGGAAGACTCAGATAGCAGAGAGTCCAGAAAGACTCATATACACATGGTTAAATTATTTTCGACAAATGTGCCACGATAATCCAATGGGGAAAAAGATGGCCTTTTCAACAAATGATACTGGAATTAGACACCCATATGCAAAAATAAAAATTTTTTTTAAAAAAGGAATTCAATCTAAACCACATACCTGATATAAAAATTAAAATGATCAAAAGTCTAAATATACAACAAAACTATAAAACTTCTAGAATATAGGAGAAAATCTCTGTGAGCATGAGTTAGGCAAATACTTCTTTGAACACAAAAAGTACAATCTTAAAGACAAAACTGATAAATTAGACTTCAGCAAAAATTTCTGTTCTTTGAAAGACACTGTTAATAACATAGGGCCAGGGACAGTGGCTCACGCCTGTAATCCCAGGGGGAGGCCAAGGCAGGTGATTGCTCAGCTCAAGAGTTTGAGGCCAGCCTGGGCAACAAAGCTAAACCCCATCTCAATTAAAAAAGATGGGAGGGGAGGGGAAGAGAGAGGAGGGAGAAGGGAGGAGACAACTGCATACTGAGAGAAAATATTTGCAAAATACAAAGGATTTGTACCCAAAATAGATAAAGAACCTCAAAACTCAATAATAAAAAAAAAATCCAAACACCTCAATTTAAAAAACGGGTGAATACTTCACTAAAGATCTATAGACTGGCAAATATGCACATGAAAAGATACCAATTGACAGTATCAGAAGCTGGTGAGAATGTGGGACAACTAGAAATCTCATATATTGCTGGTGGGAATACAACATATAATAGCTACTTTCACAACAGTTTGGCAGTTTCTTATAAAGTTAAAGTTGTATTTAACATATGATCCAACGACTGACTGCACTACCTAGATATTTATTTACCCAAAGAAATAAAGAAAGACATTCATGCAAAGACCTGTACATGAATATTTGTAATAGCTTTATCCATAATAGGCAAAATTATTGAACAGATTATGGTAAACTCATAGAATGGACTACTACTTGGTAATAAAAGAAATAAACTACTGATACATGAAATGACACGCATGAATTTCAAAAGCACTGGTCTAAGTGAAATCAGACAGACACAAAAGGCTACTTACTACATGATTTAATTTAGATGACATTTTAAATAACGTGAAGCACAGTCAGTCACAGAAAGATTACTGGTTTCCAGGGGTTAAGCAAGTGATACTGAGGCTGATAAAAATGTTCCATATTTTTATTGTGGTGGTGGTTACACAAAAATGCATACAATTTGTCAAAACTTATTGAATTGCACACTTAAGAAGACAGCCTTTTATGTCAATAATATCCTAATATAGTTGACTTAAAAAAGTATCATGGCTATATACTCTGTCTTTGGAGCTATCTGATTGTAAACCTGTCATACCAAGAAAATATGGTGACATCTGACCATGAATATGATAGATAGTCTATTTAGAAGACAAGCAATGTAACTTAGGCCAACCAAATAACTTCTCTGAGCTTTGGGTTTCTCTGCTGCAAACAAAAGGATTTTCAACCAAGTTCCCCAAATCTGTTCCCAGGAACTTACAGGATCTCTAGATCTGTTTCCAGGTTCTTACAGATATTCTGGAAAGAGTTTCCATGCTTAAATTACTTGGGAAATGCTCCCTATTTAAGGTGAGCAATGCATTTTAACATATGAAAATTCCTCCATTCATTCAACTTTTCCCCATTTTTAAAAAGCTGTTTCCCACATTTACTTGACCATGAACTCCTTTCCCACCCCGCCCCACTCCTGAAAAAGAGTGTCAGTTCTTTATAGTTCTAAGATTCAACAGGACTTTCAAGAGGATATACCAGACAGGCGCGGTGGCTCACGCCCGTAATCCAAGCACTCTGGGAGGCCAAGGCGGGTGGATCATTTGAGGCCAGGAGTTCAAGACCAGCCTGGCCATCATGATGAAGCCCCATCTCTACTAAAAATAAAAAATAAAAAAATTAGTTGGGTGTGGTGGCGCATGCCTGTAATACCAGCTACTCAGAGGGCTGAAGCACAAGAATTGCTTGAACAAGGGAGGGGGAGGTTGCAGTGAGCAGAGATTGTGCCACTGCACTCTAGCCTGAGTGACAAGAGACAAGAGTGAGATTCTGTCTCAAAAAAAAAAAAAAAAAAAAAAAAAAGATATACCTTCATGATTAAGTTTTGTTAAGATTGGCAACCTATAAAACTGACTGGTTTGAAAGCAGCTATGGAGAACTATGACCCACAAAGAGAAAACTGCCTCAAATCACAAACTGGAAAGAAGATTTCATATCCATCTTAGTGAGTTTTTGTCAGGCTTTTAATTCTAAATAACTTAAACTTAAGCATCTTGAGTACCAGGTACTACGTGAAAATACATCATGATTGAATTGCCTCTGTTCTAAAAGCTCCTCCCCAAATAACATGCCAGATTTAAAATGAATTTAAAAGCATCAATGCCAGGGACATGACAATTCCTAAGCAATTACTAAAAGAATAACAAACAGATTCCAATCTGTGTAAACAGTTTATTTTACAAAACCAGCAGAAGTTTGAAAGTATATGCTTAGTTGAAAGAAAAAAAAAAGCGAGAGAAGGGAAGAAGGGATAAAGAAAGCCTGTAAACCTAATACTGTAATGGTTGCTCTTCAGCATTTCACATGTGACCCATGAAGTATAACACACTAACAAAATAATGTTGACAGTATAGCTAAAAATATTGTATTTTGAATATAAGTAAATGCATGAATAACAAAAGTTATCTCAATTCAATATATTAATTATGACTAAAGCTGGAAAATTCTGGTGGATAAACAAACTACCCTTGAAAGGAAAAAAAAAAAAGTTAGCAATACCATGTTCAATGAGACTCAACTTTTCCAAGTAACATCCAACCTATGGAAGAGTATTTTTAGCAATATACTCCAGAGTACCCAATTTCCCTGAATAAGTCCTATGAATGTCTAATCAATGATTTTGTCTAAATACATCTTAAGAAATATTTCTAGCTTCAATTTACTTAACCTCTGAGGATAAACTACAAAGCTTATTGTATAAGAAATATTCCTTTTTAAAAAGTATTCATATTTTTCTATCTGAAATTCATCCCTTTCAAATTTTACGCATATTCTGTAGGTACTATACACTATATAAAATAACGTAATTTTTTAGAACAGTGAGAAAGTAATGGAGCAGAGGAGCAATTACTCACCCAGCACCTTGGTTTTGCACATACTTTGTGAGGGCGAACTTTAATATAAATAGTTTTGTATCTAGATCTCTTTGGGAACCACTACTATTATTTCTTCATAATGGTCTGGCCAGAGATGTCCCAAGAATAATTTGAATGAGACGTGAATTTCATTAAACTGGAACCAAGAAAGGTGACTTTTTGTCTTAATACAGACATATAAAAATGTATAACATCATTATAATTTTGGAAAATAACACATATAAATAATGTACTTTTGTTTGGGAAACTCAGCACATAGACATGTAAATAGACAACCATATGGCTAAAAACGTCTATACTATATTAAAAAAAAGTTTCTGCTAAGAAAGAAGTGAAATGAAATGAAATAAAGAAAACAAAGATCACCTTTTATAAAACATTATACGTGCTTTAAGTAAAAATGTTTAAAAAATCTGGACTAGCCATGAAACTCCTCAGGAATGTAAACAGTTTGTTTATGCTTCCAATTTAATTTTGGTACCTATTTTTGTCTTCCTACTGAGTTCAGTAAGGAAAGAATCAACAACCTGTTTATAACACACAGGTATATTACTCACCCACATTTGGAGGTTTCACATAATTTACAGGTAGTTCTGGAGGTCTGCCTCTATGTAGAGCCGCAAAAGCAGACCCATTCCATAGTGTACTCTTACAGTCTATACAAAAAGAACAAAGGTTAGCTAAGGAATTGAGCAGTTTGTTTTTTTCTTTTTTTTAACCCATGTCTCCGAAGCAAATGTCTGATTTTAATTTCATTTGTTGGAATACATTTTTAATTATTAAACCAAAATGAAAATAATAGGTATTTATTTGAACATGTTATAAACTAAATTTATAACCGGTAAACACCAACACCTAAACATATCATCTGGATATTTTATTTCTAAGCTAATCTTGAACTAAAGCTTTTTTTATGCACATATTTGAATCTTATATAAATATATCACAGATTAATAAGCTTTAAAGTTTACATCAGTTCTTCTTGATCTTTAGGCTTACACGTCTACTCATATAAAACCGTATAAGCAAGGATATAACTATAGCACAAGTATGCCAGGGAAAATTCAGGCATATTTATACTTGGGTACATGCTCGTATTATGAAATACTTGCCAGTTGTGTCATAACAGATAAGAGCACCGCATATCAGACGGTAACTGATTATAAAGAGCTGTGTTTTTTTCTCTTTCATGTTTAAGTCAAAAAATGGAAGGAAATATTAAATATTACTAATAACTTGGCTTCAAAACAAAAAGCCAAAAGCTCTCTTGAAAGCTTCCAAATAAACTCAATTAAGAATTTCCTTAAATTATAAAATGAGATGCTTAAAATCTGGTATCATTACACAACTATTTATCTTGGAGAATTAGGATTTCTAAAAATAGTATGCTAATTAAACAAAACATAGAAATAAATGGGCTGCTAGACCTTAAGTATTTATTACTCCAATAGACATCTTTAATGACTACTTTTACATGTTTATGTTTATCAAATACCACTTTATATGTTTGACATATTGAAGTTCCAGGTAAAACGTGGGAAAAATCTGTAAAACACTGAAAATGAACAGAGTAGAAAAGCTTATTTAACAATTACTGAGGCCAGGCGTGGTGACTCAAACCTGTAATCCCAGCACTTTGGGAGGCCAAAGCGGGCGGATCACGAGGTCAAGAGATTGAGACCATCCTGGCCAACATAGTGAAATCCTGTCTCTACTAAAAATACAAAAATTAGCTGGGCAAGGTGGCACACAACTGTAGTCCCAGCTACTCGGAGAGGCTGAGGCAGGAGAATTGCTTGAACCTGGGAGGCGGAGGTTGCAGTGAGCCGAGATCACACCACTGCACTCCAGCCTGGTGACAGAGCAAGACACCGTCTCAGAAAAAAAAAAAAAAAAAATTACTGATGGGTTGATATTTTTGCTTAAATATGTTCAAATATTAAAACTGTACATATAATTTTCATTTACCTGTTACAAAAAGCACAGTATCATTAGGATGACATTATCAAAACTAATAAAGTGTAAGAACATTATAATGAAAGAATATGTTAAGTATTTATACTGTATTAATCAAAGCAGCAATCTTTGAGATCTCTATTCCATGATTACAAAGGTATTTTATATTCTTTACCTCTATATATTCACTTCTACACAAAAGTACTCCTTTTTAGGTCTCTAAAAATTTACTTGTACACTAAGAAAACAAAAACAACATTGGCAAGATAAGAAAAACTAGTATTTAGAAAAGCATGGGAACATTTACTCAACCTAAAAATAAGCTACTCTCCACTCCTTCCTCCGATATCACAGTTCTAAATTCTGAAAATCTCACCTTTGGCATCCCGTAGCAGAGACTGCCGACCGACACCTAATAATGTCTGTACCCCAGGAACACTCTGAGGGATCTCTTTATCTAGTAAAGGACCAATTCTCTCACAAATTTTAAGGAGGTAGTCTGGAGGAATGTGTGCATTTGCTGCCACCTAAAAAAGTACACAGGAAAAACACATTTATTTGGTTTAAAAATATAAATCTATTCTACTACTAAACTGTTCCATTATAGAGCAAAGTACAGTTTTAAAATATAGAATCAGGCCTGGGCATGGTGGCTCATGCCTGTAATCCCAAAACTTTGGGAGGCTGAGGCAGGTCGATCACTTGAGGTCAGAAATTCGAGACCAGCCTGGCTAACATGGTGAAACCCCGTCTCTACTAAAAATACAAAATTAGCCAGGCATGTTGCTGCGCACCTCTAACCCCAGTTACTCAGGAGGCTGAGGCAGGAGAATCACTTGAACCCAGTAGGTGGAGGTTGCAGTGAGCCAAGATTGGGCGACTGCACTCCCATCTGAGCAACAGAGCAAGACTCTGACTCAAAAAAAGAAATAAAAAAATAAAAATAAATAAAATATGGAATCAGAGCCAGGTGCAGTAGCTCAGGCAGATAATCCCAGCACTTTTAGAGGCCAAGGCAGGTGGATGGCTTGAGCCCAGGAGTTTGATACCAGCCTCGGCCACACAACAAAACCCCATTTCTACAAAAAATACAAAAATTAGCTGAGTATGGTGGCTGCACCTGTAGTCTCAGCTATTCGGGAGGCTGAGGTGAGAGGATCACTTGAGCCCCAGAGGCAGAGGTTGCAGTGAGCCGAGACTGCACCACCACACTCCAGCCTGGGTGAGAGAGAAGGACCTCGACTAAAAAACAAAAACAAAAACAAAAACAAACAAACAAAAATACATATATGTGTGTATGTGTGTGTGCATATTCCATATACATATGCAATCAGGAAGAGAAAATTTTAAATATTTAATAATTAACCAAATTTAAGAAACGGTCACAAAATAAGCATATTTAAATGATAGGACAACATTTACATGGCATGGCACTCTAATATACATTTAAATATCTTGATAAAGTCATTTGCTTAGCTGTTAATCTTATGAAATAAGTGTTATAAAGCAACTAACATGCCAAAATCAAACAAGCACACAAGTGATGAGTAAACTCTCTATTACTTGATTCAATCAGTAGTGACGAACTGATCCAAAACCAGAATACCTAGATTCTATACAAATGATAAGAATACAAGTGAAAGGCATTGCTTGCACCAAACCCACAACCCATAAAGCAAAATTGTTTTTCCTATTAAAGTTAACTTGTTTCCAAAAGGGTATAAAACTAACAATGTTATAAATACTATGCTTTAAATAACTCAGCTATGTAGCCAAAATTCCTTGAAACAAAAACTTGTTTTTAAAAAAACCAAGTAAAATTCTGGACATTAGATACCACATATAGATAAGAATGAAACTATAAAACAACAAAAATTGTGTTGCATTTTTAAATTAAGCTAATGTATAAATCCCTGAGGTGTTTCATAAATACTTAATTGTTACAACAATAAACAGAAAAACCAGAATATTAAAAATCTTTTAGATAAACATTTACATCCTCATCTTGAAATAGGTCCTAAAATCTACCTCTGTTTACAATGTCAATTTTTGTAAGTGCTATAATTGTGTGTGTATATATATACATACACACACATATGTGTGTATATACATGTATACATATACATATGTATATACATATATACAATATACACACACATATGTGTATATATATATTCAGTGGCATATATACACATATATGTATATACACATATATGTATGTGTATATGTACAAATACATATTTGTATCTATATATGTATGTGTATATATGTATATGTATATATACATATGCGTGTGTGTGTGTGTATATGCCATTGAATAGGACACACATCAATAGTATTACCACCAAGTCAATCAAGAACAACAAAGGGCTGGGAACAGTGTCTCATGCCTGTAATCCCAGCACTTTGGGAGGCAAAGGTAGGAGAATCACTTGAGCCCTGCAGTTCAAGATCAGCCTGGGCAACATAGTGAGGTCTCATCCCTACAAAAAATTTAAAAATTATAGCTCTGAATGAAAATAAGTGAAAAAAAAAAAAGAACAAAAACAACAAAAAGTAGCCGGGCATGGTGACATGCCTGTAGTCCCAGCTACTCGGAGACTGCAGTGGGAGGATTGCTTGAGCCCACAAGGTCAAGGCTGCAGTGAGCTGTGTTCCTGTCACTGCACTCCAGCCCCTGGGTGACCCTATCTCCAAAAAAAAAGAACAACAATAAAACACAAAAGAATAATTTTCTAAATCATCTCTGGCAATCACCACGGGAGAAGATATTTTGTATGTTTTCTTCAATGCTGTATTCCTAGCACCCAAAAAAGTGCTGGGCATAAAGCGGGACTAAATAAATATTTGTTGAATAAATGAATAAAAATCAAAGTAAAGTCTAACTATAATCAATGTTTTTGTTTTTTTGAGTCGGGGTCTTGCTCTGTCACCCAGGCTGGAATGCAGTGGCATAATCTCGGCTCACTGCAACCTCCGCCTCCCGGGTTCAAGTGATTCTCCTGCCTTAGCCTCCAGAGTAGCTGGGATTACAGGTGCAAGCCACCATGTCCAGTTAATTTCTGTATTTGTAGTAGAGACGGGGTTTCACCATGTTGGCCAGGCTGGTCTCGAACTCCTGACCCCGTGATCCGCCCGCTTTGGCCTCCCAAAGTGCTAGGATTACAGGTGTGAGCCACTGCGCCCAGCCTAATCGATGTTATTGTAAGAATTCCTGGAGGAAAAATCTCAAATTCTCATATCAGGTTGCCTTATTTGATTTCCTAGGAAACACAGGTCAAAGAACCACAGTCAAACATGTATTCAGAATTCTGGTAACATGAGTGTATCACCCGTGATTATTTTTGTTTTAAATTATATCCTGCTATATATCTTTGGTAAGTTCCTTCAAAAAACAATGTGAATCTACCAAAATAATTGAAGCCTGTGCAACTGTCATGATGCTCAGGAAGAATGGTAATCAGATTATTTCAGATTTGCGTCTCCAGGGTTTAGTTTATGCATCAGGACAGAGGATTAAGTAAATTCTATCCATTAATTCTCACATCTTTAGTTTTTCTTCCAAGCAAATAACTATACAGAGCTATGTTTAAAAAAAAAAATAGAGGTAATATTAAAGTCAATGCAGCTGATGATGCAATCTAAAAAATACTTCATGGCTGGGAACGGTGGCTCACGCCTGTAATCTCAGCACTTTGGGAGGCCGAGGAGGGAGGATTGCTTGAAGCTAGGAGTTCGAGACTAGCCTGGTAAACATAGCAGGACCCTATCTCTACAAAAAAAAACAAAAATAAAAATAAGAATAAATCATTTCCTGTCATCTACAGAGTGATATCCTAAAATCCTAGTTTATAATTCACACCCTGTACATTAAGGCATTTCCTAAATATGACTATATGCAAATATAATTAGTACCCTTAAAATATGTATCTGGAAAAAAACTCTTAAGTGCTGTATATTAACAACTATAACAGCTTATGTCTTTTTTCCCAAAACTGTCTTAGATAAACTGGGCTTCTGTTATCAGTCATTATTTTTTCATCAAGTAAATGCTGTAAGAGGGCTTCTACATAGAGTAGTAGTTGACATCTTTACTGGTAATTACTTTTTTTAATCCTCTGGACCAACTCAAGATATTCAGTTGTTACATAAAAACTTCACTTAACTACCCTAGAAATACAACATATTTAGCATATACAATCCAGAAAATGGGAGTTATATAATTAGAATTTTTAGCATTACCCTCCTATAGAAAGAAAATTTGTTGGAGTTATATCTTAAACTGATATCTTAAGCTCCCTGTCTATTTCATTTTATTGAAACAATGATGCTTGATTTTCAGCTAATTATATAAAAAGATTTATCAATCACTCAGTAATAATTCAAAAATACAGGATCATTAATGGTCATAAATGAGGTCTATATATTCAGCAAATACAATTTACTCCTAACTATCCCTTTAAAGACTTGTACAATAAACAAGTTTGATTTTCACTCTACACAATAGAAAACTGCTTGATTTCTAAGCAGTTACATGAAAATGTCCTTTTCTCTAAAATCAATAAAAATCTGATTGTATGGCTGGGTGCGGTGGTTCACCCCTGTAATCCCAGCACTTTGGGAGGCCAAGGCGGGTGGATCACGGGGTCAGAAGATCGAGACCATCCTGGCTAACACGGTGAAACCCCGTCTCTACTAAAAATAAAAAAAATTAGCTGGGCATGGTTGTGGGCGCCTGTAGTCCCAGCTCCTCGGGAGGCTGAGGCAGGAGAATCACTTGAACTCGGGAGGCAGAAGTTGCAGTGAGCCGAGATCACGCCACTGCACTCCAGACTGGGCGACAGAGCGAGACTCCACCTCAAAAATAAATAAATAAATAAATAAAATATGATTATAACACTAGAGAAACAGATTCGATCAAAATAATGGCAATAACAATCTTTTGAGTTTAAACATGATAGCTAGCTTCTCCTTCAAACCACTTTAGCAGGCTTCCAAACTATATCGATGTAGTTCTTAAAATGTTTCTTCTAAATCAAACTTTAGGTCTTATAAGGGTAGTTAACTGCTTACTTGAATCCATTTGCTTTTCATAAAAGCCGGAACTTTTCAAAGGTGATCTTTTCAGACATAAGAACTCTTACCTACCCTGAATAGTTTTGTTTTTTTTTTTTACATTTTTAAATAAATCTATATTGTTATATAATGGCCTATAAAATTAATGTCTTAATATTATAAATCACTCTTTTTGTTTAAAGCTCAAACATTCTAATTTCAGTCATTTAACTACATTTATCTCTCTGGAATATAATGGCCAACTCGGAACAGTTAAGTGCTCTGAGGCTTGCAGAAGAAAAACATTCTCTATAAACAAAGTTTAAGTGTATAATACAGGGGGGGAAAAAAAAACAGAGTATAATACGAGGCCGGGTGTGGTGGCTCACGCCTGTAATCTCAGCACTTGGGAGACAGAGGCGGGAGGATCACTTTGAGGCCAGGAGTTCCAGACCATCCTGGGCAACATAGT